ATTGGTACCCTCGGAATGTTTTCTCGCGCAACCTTTCACGAGAGCCCGCAGTCTCCCTCTGTGATGACCTGGAGTGTAACACAAACGTAACAAAATCCAAAACGTAAATAAATGTCCTTTAATGCCTCCAACTTGGGCCCACTGTTCAAATAATTCTCAGCTGGAGATAAAACATATTCAAAAATAGTCTTCAAAAGAAAGCGATACAGTCCAAACTTAATGAGCAGATAGAGATGAAATAAAAACCCAAAACAAACTACAACGAAGGAAATTCCACAACGGACCAGGATAAGTAATTACCAACTTCAAGGAGATAACAAGGCACAGTCTGTTGGAAGGACGCCAACCAAGATAACTTCAGCCCAAAATAAAACACGCTTTGCTTCTTGCAGCACTGTGTTTTAACCATCTCTCTTATATACTAGTCTCCTCAGCTGCAATCAATGAGGGAATCATGACCGCTTCCTCTCTCGTAGGCCAAGTTGTTTCCTTTTCCGTTCCTCCCTGCATGTCCTAGGATGAAGAGGGGATGGGCCTGGTTCTTCCTCTGACTGCCCAGCCGGCCTCTGCCCTTCTCCAGCCTCCTCCACAATTCTGGAGCCACACCTCCACTCCCTGTCAGCTGTTCCTCCTCTCCCTCAGAGTCTGACTCTAACAAGAGCATGACACCCTCCCCGCTTAATGAAATTGCGTTTGGTAACAATGTTCCTTCCCTGGGTGATGGGCAGAATTATTACTAGAATCGCAGAGTGGAAAGGGACCTTGGAGATTATCTAGTCCAACCCACTGCTCGGGCTGGAAGCTCAAGACAGGCATTCTGACGGGAGGCAAGTTTTCAGAGCTTTTATTTCTGGACCTAAGCCAAAGGTGGTGTCATGCCCTATTGGAGTCTGACTCCAAGGGAGAGATGGAACAGCTGACAGGGAGTGGGGGTGTGGCTCTGGTGGTTGTGGAGGAAACTGGGGAAGGGCACAGGCCGGATGGGCATTCAGAGGAAGACCCAGGCCCATCCCCTCTTCAACCTAGGGCACTCAGGGAGGAACAGATAAGGGAGCAAAGTGGTTTACGCGGGAGGAAGGGGCCATGATACCCTTCATTGGCTGCAGCTGGGAGGACTGTTTAAAAGGACAAACTGCACATGGCAAAGTTGCTGGACGCAAACCGTGTTTTATTCTTGTCGTAGCTTATTGGTGTTTTGGCTTCCTCCCAACTTTGGTTGCTGTGTTATCTGGTAGAAGTCTGCAATTTAGCATCCTTGCCTGCCATAGTAATTCCTTCAGTGTGGTTTGTGTTGGGTTTTTTAAATTTCAAATTAACTTTACTTTGGGTGCAGACTGCATTTACTCCCTCCGTCAACTGTTTTCTTTATGAGTTTGATATCCAACCAGGGATAATTGGACATTGGGGGCCAAGCTGGAGGCATTAAAGGGACTTTCTTCTATTTTTGTGACTCCCCAGGTCATCCCAGGTGAGATTCAAAAATCCCAGCAACCAGTTGGCTGCCCAGTTGCTGGGTGGGTGGGGCCATGGTGGATGGGGCCTACCGGTACTTCCAGTTTGGCTGTTTTTTGCTTTCCCCAGTTTTCTTTCCCCAAGTTATAATGACTGGGAATTAGTCGTTAATTTGAAAGTTACGGCTTTTTTTCCCTATAGTTTTACAAAGAAGATACAAACCACCTCAAACTGGTTAGAGTGTTCTCTCCAGTGCAACTACTGAAATTCAATTCCTGACGGTTGTTTCTCAATTTCATAAATGAAATTATTAAAATATTCTTTTAAACTGCCAGGCGAACTATTCTTAGAAAATGATTTGGTGTTTTCCTCATTTTGGTCCTCTTAATAGCCAACTTTGTCCAATACAAAAGCAGTCAAAAGGATTTTAGGATTTAGCTTAATTATGTTTTTTCTTAAGTTTCCTTTTCAAAATATTATTGCATTACTGCTCTGGGGTTGTTATTGTTTTTTTTTCCTGTCCGAGTTATTTGAAAATGTCATACTGGTGGTTTGTTGGTTTATAGAATTGTGACGGCTGTTGGTTTTGGTTGTGTGCTGCGTTTCGTGTAGATGTGTGAAGTGTAAATTTGTGGTGATAGTGATTTGTTATGTTTCTTTCTCCAAGATGACTCAGAAGGACATCACTTTTGTGGCTGATTTTCTGACGGAGCACTTCAATGAAGTAAGATTTCTATTTTCTATTTTCTATTTGTTTTATTTTAGGAATGGAATGGAATGGAATGGAATGGAATGGAATGGAATGGAATAGAATAGAATAGAATAGAATAGAATAGAATAGAATAGAATAGAATAGAATAGAATAGAATAGAATCTGGAAGGGACCTTGGAGGTCTTCTAGTCCAACCCCCTGCTCAAGCAGGAGGACCTATACCATTTCAGACAAGAGTCTAATCTCTTCTTAAAAACCTTCAGTGATGGAGCGCCCACAATTTCTGAAGGCGAGCTATTTTATTTTATTTTATTATTTGTTTTATTTTTTGCAGGCATTTTCATGGCAAGGAAGGGTTGTTTTCCCTTTCAAAAGAGCACACTCAAGTCATCTCGATGTAGCTAAACATTTATTTATGCCACTTCCCTTAAAGCTTCTTTTCTCTTCTGGTTATACTGTACCGCAGAGTACCCTAAAAAGTGCCCTTAGCGACTTTTCATACATATGGACTTCAACTCCCAGAATTCCTCAGCCAGCATGTCTGGCTAGGGAATTCTGGGAGTTGAAGGCCACACATCTTTTAAGTTTTCAAGACAGGGGGTATATAGGATTATTAAAACCCCGATATAATAGCATGATAGAATTGTTTATTGACTAAACCAAACGTTGGGGACTAATCCAAATTCCCAACCAAAGGTTTACTAAAGGTAAAGATAAAGGTTCCCCTCCTTGCACATCCGTGCTAGTCGTTTCTGACACTAGGGGGCGTTGCTCATCTCTGTTACAAAGCTGGAGAGCCAGCGCTTTCCGAAGATGTCTCCGTGGTCATGTGGCCGGCAGGACTAAACACTGAAGGTGCATGGAACACCTTTCCCTTCCCACCAAAGCGGTTCCTATTTTTCTACTTGTATTTTTTACTTGCTTCCGAACTGCTAGGTTGGCAGAAACTGGGACAAGTAACGGGAGCTCACTCCGTGACGCGGCGCTAGAGATTCGAACCGCCAAACTGCCGACCTTTCTGATCGACAAGCTCAGCGTCTTAGCCACTGAGCCACCGCGTCCCTCAAGGGTTTACTACTGATAGAGAATTCTCAGAGAATTGTTAAAACAATTGTTTGCCAGTTCTCCTTACATAACCTAACTGCCCTCTTCACGCTTTCCTTTCAAGGCACCTGAGCTCTACAGTCGAAAAGGGAAATACTTTAACGTGGAAAGAGTTGGGCAGGTAAGGCGCCAGTCGTATCGAGGGATGGCCTCGGTCCTAGAGTTCTTGAGAAAGGAAGAGTTGGCTAGCCTGGACTTTCCACAGAAATTGCGTGGAATTTGCACGATGGATCCCTGCCATACAGTGGTAGGATTCAACATATTTTACTACCTGTTCTGTGGGCGCACGTTTCACACATGCATGTGGAGCATTCTAAAAAGGAATTTTAAGCATGAAAACTTATCGTCAACAGTGGTGAGTAAAACAGCTGAGCCACGGCAATCTGCTCTACCCCACCTATCAGCGGAGCTACAAAGAAAATATAGGACAGGAGAGGGTGGGGGCGTGTGGGTGAGACCAACTGCTGACTGGCACTTCCGGATCGCTAGAACCGGCGTGAATCGGCAGCATACCACCACTGCTGCTGCCATATCTATGAATATATACTGCTCGCAGTGGCTTTCTCCTGCGGCAAGGCCGAAGGGACCCGGGCAGGCACATCAGGGCATAAAATGTGTCACTTAATGAACAACTCTCAGTCACAAGACACAACTGTAGCTGCGATAGTTTCACGGAGCAAAGGTTTATAGCCATGTCTGATAAAATTGTTCCACTCTGCAAAGATAACAGACCGGTTGAAGGAAAGCTGTGATAAACAGATTGAAGACTGAGCCATAAATCCCATTTTTCAAAGCATTTTACAGCAAAACAACTAGACATCTGAAAGGTTTTCTGTTTCCCAGTTGAAAAGAAGAGGGGGGAAAAAAAATCAGACTTGATGTTTTGTTTATTTTATTTTATTTATTTGTTTTGTTTTATTATTTTATTTATTTTGTTTTATTTTATTATTTTATTTTATTTATTTCATTTATTTCATTTATTTTATTATTATTTTTATTTTGTTTTATTTTATTATTATTTTATTTTATTGCAAATTGAGAGAAACCTACAGTCCTGGCATTTCTCCCTTCCCCCCCTTAAAGATACTTATTAAAGATAAGTATCTTTTTTTAAGATACTTATTAAAATCATTCTCTTTTCAGTATTTAAAAGACGAAGATGATGATCTCGTATCTCCACCTAACACCGATGGAAACCAGTGGTTTAATTTCCTTCAAAGTAGTAACAGTCTTAAAGGTACGGTCCGGGTTTTAATTTCGAGATAACCGAAAAGTGTCAAAGGTAGCCAAAGCAAAATGAAGTTGTACATCCTCCAGAGTTGAAATTAGTTTTCCAGGGTGTTGAGGTGTGAAGACCTTAACAAGGGTTGCGAGATGGGTGAGCTGATCCATGGGTTTTCCTTCTTTTCTTGGCCCTTCCTAAATGATTATTCAGCACCTTGCATTTGGGAAGGAGAGTAAATAGAACTGGATTTTTCTCTTGTCACCTTTTTTCCCCCCACACACACTTTTCAAATGCTATCATGTTCCTTGGCAGCCTTCCCAAGGTTAACATTTTGCAATTTTTCATGTGCTCTTCAGAAAGTTTCATTTCTTGCTGTTTTCTGAATCTATCTATCTATATATATATAAAAGCGAAATACAAACTCACGCATCATCACAAAATCTTCAGAACTGCAAAGCCTACAAACTTGACATTTGGCATGTAGATTCCTCTTGGTTTCTAGGGGCTCACTAAGAAAGGATTCTTCGAAATGACCATCAGAGCATTTAGAGTATTTCCTATATGATTATTATTAACATGCTCTGATGCTAAGGAGTTCTTCTCCCCCTCCCCACCTGGAAAGAAATCTCTTTCAAATGCAAAACACAAGCAGAGGAGAGGAGTTTCAGTTTCAGTCTTAGTTTCACATCACCAAGCAGCTTTAGTACAGAACAGTTGAGCTAAGCCACGCCCAGGCTCCTTGCTGTCTCCTTGCTCACACAGCAAATACTCTTTCAGTTTCCAAACAGTTCTCAACTCTCTCACACACTGACAGGACACTAGCCAGATGAATACCGATGGATGCTGGTAGGCAGAGGAAGAATTGTTTTCCCTCCCCAAAAACTAAGCCCGACCACATAGTTACGTAGGGAAGCATGGGTATCGAGCTATTGTTTTCTAAAACTCACTGCTGCCATCCATCTGGTACTCATTAAACCTATCGAAGGATTCACAGAATTCATTTCTGGAATGTCAGGTAAGAAAAGATAAAATAAGATAAATAAGATAGATAAGACATCCCAGAGCTTGAACCAGGGGTCAAAGCAGCGATGAGTTTTGTTATCGGCGGTTGTGATTTATTTGGGGAGGGGTGAAAAAAATTACAATTTTCTTCTGAAACACCTTTACAACAAGGAAATAAAATTTAATATTCTGTCCCTGGTATGAGAAAAGCTCCTTCTGTTCACGGGAGGAACTGAGCGAGTGCACTTTTGCCAGCAAAACCCCCAGTTATTGGAGGCACTTTCAATAAATAGATTAATTCCATCACTGAGTTATTGTACATTTTGGTAATTGACCCATTATGCAACTGAGATTAATTCTGAAAGTGAAACCGCTCTCTCACTGTACAGTACCTGGATAGAAAAGGAAATGAAAGACGTGAAGAAAGTTCAGAGTTCTAGAGTAAGGAATGGAATGGAATGGAATGGAATGGAATGGAATGGAATGGAATGGAATAGGATAGGATAGGATAGGATAGGATAGAATAGAATAGAATAGAATAGAATAGAATAGAATAGAATAGAATAGGACTATGGAATAGAATATGGAATGGAATATGGAATGGAATATGGAATGGAACAGAATATGGAATGGAATGGAATGGAGTGGAATAGAATAGGATAGGATAGAATAGAATAGAATAGAATAGAATAGAATAGAATAGAATAGAATAGAATAGAATAATACCTTTATTGCCACTTTGAATGTACATCAATTGGCATACATTAAAATGAAATTTCATTGCATATCTAGTAAATACAATCTAGTGTTTACCAGACATACAAATGCCATCTAGTAAATACCAGACATACTATGTAGAGATAAAACAAAACTCCGCACTGGTGACAGGAAGGGCATCTGGCCAGTAAACACTCAGCTCCATTCAGTTGCCCAGACTCCACCCCGCAAGGGATTATGGGGTCGTTAAAAGAGGATGATGGTACTAAGTAGAGATAGAACTAAATAGGGTTAATTATTGGACAGAGGAATTGAATACAGAATAACAAGAGTTGGAAGGGACCTTAGAGGTCTTCTAGTCCAACCTGCTTTTCAAGCAAGAGACCCTATACCATTCTGGACAAGTGACTGTCCAATCTCTTTTTGAAAACCTCCAGTGATGGAGCACCCACAGCTTCTGAAGGCAAGTCGTTCCATTGATTAATTGTTATAACTGTCAGGAAATTACTCCTTAATTCAAAGTTGGGTCTCTCCTTCATTAGTTTCCACCAGTTGCTTCTTGTCTTGCCCTCAGGTTACTTTGGAGAATAAGTTGACCTCCCTTTTTCTGTGAAAGCTCCTGTGATGACCCAGGGTGGGATACAAAAGCAACCAAGTCACAAAAATAGGTGAAGTCCCTTTAATTCCTTCAACTTGGCCTCCAAGCTCCAATTATCATTGACTGGAGAAAAAACTCCCCCACAAACAGTTGCGAAAAGGAAGAAATGCCATTCAAACTCAAAATATATATAAATTATAAATAGGGAAAAAAAACAACACAAACCACACTGATGAGACAAGGCAGGATGAGGGCTTGGTCCACAGATATCGAAATACACACACTGGGAAGGATGCCGGGACTCAGATAAGAACTGACAGACTAGAAATATTTTCACGCTTTGCTTCCAGCAACTTTGCCATGTGCAGTTTGTCCTTTTAAACAGTCCTCCCAGCTGCAGCCCATGAAGGGGATCAGAGCCCCTTCCTTCCCCATAGATCATGCTATTCACGTTTCTCCCTTATCCTCTCCTCCCTGCACGCTCTAGGATGAAGAGGAGATGGGCCTGGTTCTTTCTCTGAATGCCCATCCAGCCTCTGCCCTTCCGCAGACTCCTCCACAACCTCCGGAGCCACACTCCCACTCCCTGTCAGCTGTTCCTCCTCTCCCTTGGAGTCAGATTCTAACAGGTCCTTCTTTCCACTAAACTAGACATACCCAATTCCTGCAACCATTCTTCCAATGTTTTAGTCTTCAGCCCCCAATCATCCTTGTTGGTCTTCTCTACGATCTTTCTAGAATCTCAACCATTAAGCTAAGATAGAGTGGAACCGACTATCTTAAAAACGAACTGGGTTTGGCCGGCAGGCTAAAGAAGTGCCTTTTAAGGTTTTTCAGCGGGAAGGGCCTGTGGCAAACAATGGTTTGCTTAATGACTGTGGTCTTCACTCTGTGACCACTGCAGAAAGGTAATCAAAACAGATCCGGCCATTTTATAATAGTCAAGACGTAAGCACCATTATAGGCAGACTCCACTAGGGTTATAAGTCAAGGACCATTTATATTGTTGCAAAGCTCATTTTTTTGCTTATGTTCACACACTGCTCATCTTCCATAAAGTATCTAGTAATAGAAAAACGTGTTTTATTAAAAATATGCAACCTTTTCTTGCGGGTCTCGTTAATTTGACTTTTTTGTTTTGTTTTTTGGAAATGTTGCTTAGAAAGCCCGTTGTTGTTTCCATACTACCCTCAAAAATCACTGCATTTTGTAAAGAGGAGAATGGAAAGCATCATTGATCAGTGCCTCCAAAAGCCAGCTGTGAGTATCCAGAGGTGTATCAGATATGGGTATGGCAAGCCATCACATGGATCTTGGCTGTGTTTAAATATAGAGAATTTTATTGTGGTCCAAGACCAAGGGGATGAAAAAAGTTTCTCGTACACAAGGAATTATAATATCTATCCCATTGCCTACAGTGCCATATTATGGTAATTTTATCATGATTTTGGTTTCACTAAATATTTTATCTCATGTATTGTATTGTCCACATTATATCTCTCTGTGTGTGTCTTTATCTGTATATCTGTCTGTCTGTCTCTATTTAACCACCTCTTTCATCTGTCTGTCTGTGTCTGTCTATTTGTCTATCAACTGTATCTATATCATCTTTATCATATACATCTATCTGTATCTATCTAGATCTATCTATCATCTATCTCTATAATCGGTATCTATCTATCTATTTATCTATCTATCTATCTATCTATCTATCTATCTATCTATCTATCTATC